ATGTGTTCCTCTGACGGGTGAGTTTACAGATGGGCAGGTGTTCCCGCAGTGGAGCGGTCCCACCTCCAGCGTGCCACCTGAAGACACATGATCTGGAACTCCGCCGCCCTCCGCCTCGTTCGGAGTCGCGTGCGGGCCGGTGCGGACAGTGAGCTCGTGGGCAGGCGCACCGATGCTGGAGCAATCAAAAGGAGCGCAACCTGGTCCGATGGAAACGCACAACTACCTGAATAGTCCACAATGTGGGTGGGGACCTTCTCAGGGGTGACGTCCGCCGGGATCGTGATCTCTTCTGCACGCGGGGGCACCTGCGTAAGCGAGAGAGGGTCGTTGGTACAAGGCAGTAGGCCGCTCTGAGACTCTCTGGGGTAGTGAAGGGCGGGGTATAAATCCAATCTCTTCTTCTTCTCTTCTAATGTATTTGGAAAAAAGTGTGCCTGCACATGAAAGCTCATCCCTTGAATAAAACTCTGTTGGTCTTAAAGGTGCCACTGGACTCTTAAATTTGTCAGGAATCTACAGTGCAGGAATGTGAAGTCTGAGACACTTTCCATACAGACTAGACGTGTCATCGTGCATGTTCGACAGAAGCGGTTATGTTTGGCGCGACGGCCAAATTTCACACTTGCACAGTGCAGCTGCGAAAACAACGGACGTGGCCTCAAGAAATGGCAGCCGACTGCCCACTTCTGCAGCCCCAGGAGTGTTGGCTCAATCCACCGACACTGCAGTGTCCGGAGGAGAAACATTCGGCTGCCTGCCAGAGCCCCAGTGCTGGAAGGCGTGAAGGTCTTTAGAACCGTCTCGGCAGCTGATCGGGAGACTTTTGGCAGCTGTAGCGTCACGGCCGGGGCCAGGAACCGAGTCCGTCGGCTTCGGGGCAGCGGGCAAGAGGGGAAAACGGCCGCCGGAGCCGATTAAGGTAGCCCTTTCCGGCTTCTCAGCAGTGGGGGTCTTGGGAGAACTGCTAAAGTTTGGAGACGAGAAGGGCGGCCGCAGACAGCTTTGGAGCAGCTGCTGGACACAGCGGCCAACCAGCCACCTCAAGGAAGCTTACGGTCAGGATGAGTGCAACAGCATCCTCCCGCCTGAGTTCCCCAGCAACTGATTTAAAGACGCACACACAGCCTCTGGTGGTGGTGTTGTCAGCCTTCGGTAGTGTCCGACTATTGGTGATTCTATGGGCCAGCACACTGCCCCTGCTAAAGGTCTCCCTTGCTCGAAAGCCAGTCGAGTCCGACTCTAGGGTTGCGGTGCTCATCTCCGTTTCAAAGCCGAAGAGCCAGCACTGTCTGAAGACGTTTCCGTGGTCATGTGGCCGGCATAATTTAAAGCACACACAGCCTCTGGTGGTGGTGTTGTTAGCCTTCGATAGTGTCCGACTCTTGGTGATTCTATGGGCCAGCACACTGCCCCTGCTAAAGGTAAAGGTTCCCTTGCTCGAAAGCCAGTCGAATCCAACACACTCGGGTCTCGAACTGCTGAACTACCGACCTTCCACGGCCTGTAGTTCAGTGTCTTAACCGTCTAAGCCACCGCAGCTGAAAGGCCCTTTAAATATTGCAGGAGGGCAGGGAGGGGGCGCACGGTACGCCCCTTAGTTACAGCATATAAGGGCAGCCCCACCAGCAAAGAATTTTACCCACAAGCCACAAAATCCTGGCTACGGGCCTGCCAAGATGCCCACGGGGGCCATGTTTGAAGCTACATGGTGGTTTGTCATCATTGGTCAAACGCTGGCTGGGGATCTCTAGCAATTTCCTCAGTTTAACCCACCCACTCCTAGAGATGTAAAATTTCCAGAAATTTTGAAGCTCGGAAAAAAACCCGTTTTTCCCCGGAAAAAAAACGGAAATTTTCAGAAAAATTGACAAAAACGCTACATTAGCACTTCTTTTTTCCTTTCCAGATTGAAAGTCATTCTGATACTTTAGGAACATAAAATATGACTATGGACATTTGTACTTGGCGTGAAATTATCACAACTAGCCTATTAAAAATATAGTGCATCCAAAGAATTATTACAAACAGAATACCCACCCACATGCAAAAACAAAACTGAAACCTTTTTATTTTCTTCTGACAATCGCACCTCCTAAAGGAAGAAATGCATCTTGTTCTTGCATTGGAGAGTTCAGTTTGTAACCTAGGACTTGCTTGTCCTCAGTGCACAGAAATTAGATCAATCTGATACCCTACATATTTTTTAGAAATGATTTGGAAAATATTTGAACACCTCGTCTTAAAATATTGTATTCATCATGTTAAAATAAAACGTTCCATAATCAATTTTTTTCCTTTTCTTTTTTTCAATTTTTCCAAATTTTCGGGAAAAAACAAAAAAAGCTTCAGGAACGGTTTTTTCCCCAAAATTTTCCAGGTTTTTTCGGGGCCGTCACATCTCTACCCTCTCCTCCTTACCTCTTCAGGGAACTCCTCGCCCACCAGGGCCATGATCAAAGAGGTCTTCCCCACCCGGGCTGCAAGACGAAGGGGGGAAAACAGACACAAGAGGGCGCCATTAGAACACAGAGAGGCCTGATACCTATTTGATTTCACAACAGCCCTGCCAGGTAGAGCAGTAGGGGAGGGATGGACTTTCTCTCCCCTTCCCATAATACTAGAACTCGGGGGGGGGGGCAAATTATTTTGATGGGCAATCTGTACAGTACAGAGTTAAAAGTCGCCCACGTGTGACTGCATTTGGCCAGGCGGGCAGGCAGGGAACGGTTTTAAGTGGGCCGACGGCTTTCGTGGACGTTGAAGAGAAAGCTTCTGACAGGCGCCAGCTAGGAGCCGAGAACTAGATCATGCAAAACAAGGGTCAGATTGCGAGAGCTCAATCGACGCCGGCTATGGGATGGGATGCAACCCTCTCGGGGGGGAGGGGGACCCTTCCATTTCCCCAGGGTCTGATGGGTCACCCACCAGCCCCACGGCTTCCCACAAAGCCCGCCATTAAATCTTCCTTACTGGGGACTTATATCTGCACAGCCCCCGCTATCTGGCATCCTCTGTACACGCAGGTCTTTAGGGAAAAGCCGGAGGATTTCACATACATAATACATAGCAACTCCCCCCCCCTTCCCGCTCCGTGGAAATGCCACCGTTTTCAGCAAAGGAAGCATCTCCGGGCTGTGTATTTTTTAAAAAGAGCTATTAATATTTGAGAAGGTTGTCTGCCGCTTATGCAGGAAAACCTCAATTTGTTGTAGCTGCATACTCCTGGAGAAGCCCGGACCTGGAGAGCCGATCCCGTCAGATCTCAGAAGCTCAGCAGGGTCGGCCCTGGCTAATATTTGGAAGGGCAGCTTCCAAGGAATACTAGGGTCGTGACACAGAGGCAGGCAAGGGCAAGTCAAGTCTGAAACGTCTCTTGCCTTAAAAACGAGTCTATCTCACCACCTCGTGGTGCATAAGGCAAAAAAAGAGTTAGGACTTCTGGCTGCCAGACAATCTTAGGCTCTCCTGGCTATTCTAGACACAATGCCAGGCAGGCAATGGCATACAACCTCTGAAACATCTCTTGCCTTCAAAATAAGTCTAGCTCACCAACTAGTGGTGCATAACGCCAAAAGAGCTGGAACTTCTGGCTGCCAGACAATCTTCAGCTCTCCCAGCTGTTTTACACACAATGCCAGGCAGGCAATGGCAAACCACCTCTGAAACATCTGTTCCCTTAAAAACAAGTCTATCTCACCAACTAGTGGTGCATAACACAAAAAAGAGTTAGGACTTCTGGCTGCCAGACAATCTTAGGATCTCCTGGCTATTCTACACACACTGCCAGGCAGGCAGTGGCAAAACGCCTCTGAAACGTCTCTTGCCTTCAAAACAAGTCTCACTCGCCGTCTGATGCTGCATAACACTAAAAGAGCTAGAACTTCTAGCTGCCGGACAATCTTCGGATCTCCTGGTTATACTTTCCAACAATGCCATATGATAATTAATTAATTACTTCTGGAGCGCAGCTGACAGCACTTCACATGGTCTTCTCAAATATGGGGAACTTAAGGTGGGCTCAGGTAACCCGGCCCCCCTCTGATGCTGGTGGGGAAATGCTGTCAAGCAGCAGCTGACTTAGGTGAACCCGTAGGACGGGGTTCCGTAACGCTGTGCCCGCCGACACTTTTCCTAGCACCTGCCACGTGTTATTAGAAAGTGGGCATCAGCCAGGTGGGGCCACTGAGAGCCAGATTGCTATAGTGGTTAGGAGCAGTGTTCCCGCTAAGCTGAGTTCGTGTGAGCCAGCTCACAGCTTTTTAGCCTCCGGCTCACACATTTTTGTCTTCGCTCAGGGAGGAGGGCCTCCGGAGCAAACTGATTGATGCAACAGCCAAATCGCTCGCTCACCATTTTCATGCCAGCAGCTCACAAAGTAGAATCCTTGCTCACAAGACTCCTCAGCTTAGAGGGAGGCATCGGTTAGGAGCGCGGACTCTGATCGGGGAGAACCGGGTTTGGTTCCCCACTCCTCCACATGCAGCTGCTGGGTGACCTTGGGTCAGTCACACGTTCTCTCAGAGCTGTTCTCTCAAGGGCAGTCCTCGAAAGAGCTCTCTCAGCCCCACCTGCCTCACAGGGTGTCTGTTGTGGGGAGGGGAAGGAGATTGTCAGCCGCTCTGAAACTCCTTCGGGTAGTGAAGGGCGGGGCATAAATCCAGTCTCTTCCTCTTCTCTCTACTGCCCAGCAGGGCTTCTGATTAGTACTGGACATCTGATTGGCTGGGCAGATCAAAATAACTTTCTTTCGGCACAAGTAGCCACCACGGTGTTTGTTTCATTCTCCTTTTCCTCTTCTCCTGTGCATTTCTTTTTAAAAAAACTACTCCTCTGGTCCCCTTCTTTTGGGTTTTCTGCGTGTACATGCGCCTGCCTCTTGAAGAGGCCATTTTACGGTTGGCTCCGCCTCCCAGAGCGGCCATTTTGTGGTTGCGCCCACCACCCTGAGTCAGCACTCCCAAGGTGTCCACGGGCTCTAAAAAGACCCTGCCGTAGAGTTTTGCTTTGCTTACCTCTGGCATAGCAGCCCTGGGCTTCCTTGGAGGTCTCCCGCCCGAGGACTAACCGAACCCGACCCTGCTTAGCTTCCGAGATCCGATGAGACCAGGCAAGCCTAGGCCGTCCTGGTCGGGGTGGACCCTCCCTAGTTAATACTTTTTCATCCTACCTTCCTCCGGAGAGCTCAGAGCAGCCTACGTGTTCTTTCGTCACAACCCTGCGAGGTAGGCGGAGCTCAGTGACCGGCCGAAGGCAATCTCGTGAGCTTCATGGCAGGGTGGGGATTCGAACAGAGGTCATTTCGGGGGGGATCGCGGTTCCCCCGGGTGAGGTACGGGGGGCGGGGCACATGACGAAGCCCCGCCCCCTGCTTCTGGCCGCCCCGCTTCCGGCCCTCATTCAGCCAGGAGGAGGCAGGAGAAGAGGGAGGGTAAGTTGCTTCCTCCCTGCCTCTCTCCACCCCTGCCTGCCTGGGGCCAGGGAGGGCCTTCGCGGGGCTTCCTTGCACTCCCACCGGCAGCCGGGAGCGTTGGGGGCGGGGTGTGTGGCCTTATGACACTTCCAGTGATGTCAGGGGGTGTGGCCTTATGACACACTTCACCAGCCGGAACTCCGTTCCTGTGCGTTCCTACCCAAAAATAGCCCTGCTAGTTAATATTTTTTCATCCTACCTTCCTCCAGAGAGCTCAGAGCAGCCTACATGTTCTTCCGTCACAACCCTACGAGGTAGGCGGAGCTCAGTGACCGGCCCAAGGCCATCTCGTGAGCTTCATGGCGGGGTGGGGATTCGAATCCCCCTCTCCCAGAGCAGAGTCTGATGCTTTAACCACTACTCCGCACTTCCCGACAACTGGAGCTCAGCCTCCGGACCTGACATTTCCGCTCTCTCCCCGAGAGACTCACAAGCACTGAGTTCTGATTCTGCCGGCCAGAAAAGCACAACCAAGACAATACCTCCAGACTTCCATCCGCTCTGAATATCGAAACAGCCCGCAATACACGAGCCAACCAAAGCTGGTGGTTTTAAGAATTTTAAAAGAACTGTCAGCATGCGCAGATCTGGAAGGGTCAAAAAGCACCCCCGGAAGACCAGAGAGTAAGTTACAACCAGTGTTCCCTCTAAGCTGAGTTAGTGTGAGCTGGCTCGCAGTTTTCTAGCCTCCGGCTCACACAGTTTTGTCCTAGCTCGGGAAGGATGGCTCCAGAGCAAACTCACTTATGCAGGAGCCTAATCGCCCGCTCGCGAATTCATGCCAGCTCACAAAGTAGGATTTTTGCTCAGGGCTGGAAAGACAAAAGTAAATGGACAATAGAAATCTGGCACAACTATTTGTTTGGTTTTATACAGTTTTTGCTCACAGGACTCCACAGCTTAGAGGGAGGCACTGGTTCCAGCGTCAAGTTTCTAGCATTGTTTCAGAAGGGATTGTTCAGGAAGACGTTTTCAATTAAAAAAAAAAAAAAGTAAATGTCGGGGAAACTTTAGGGACAGTAGACCTTCGCCCATCGCGGCTTGCAACTTCACTGAATCGCCTTGCTTCTCTGCAAGAAGGGTGAACGACGGCATGCGTGGGTTAAATTAAACGAAACTTAGAAAAACACAAGTGGTTCCAGTTAGCCGAGCTACGTTCATTCAGAGACAGGCAGCTGTCAAAAGCTACCAGACGTGGCAGCCAGGAATGTAAACCTCTACGCTGGAAGCTACGGGCCTGACTACTACAGACGATCCACAGGGAATTACCATCACCAGCTTGTGCCTGTTTGTGAGTTTTCTGGAAACATTTGGCTGGTTGCTGTTGGAGACGGAGAGCGGGATCTTACAGTGCTTTCTCTCTCTCGCTTTGTTAAAAATATCAAGGCCTGAAGCAATTAACCGAGAGACAATCATTAACCCCAGAATAACCCTGTTATTGGGTAGAACATAAGAACATAAGAGATGCCAATGTTGGATCAGGCCAATGGCCCATCCGGTCCAACACCCTGGGTCACACAGTGGCCAGAAATACCAGGTGCCATCAGGAGGTCCAGCAGCGGGGCCAGGACATTAGAAGCCCTCCCACTGTTGACCCCCCCAAGCACCAAGATGACAGAGCAAAAGGTAGGAATTATTGGGTCCCGCTCTGCCTCAAATGGTCCCAACTAGGCCTCAAATGAGCTCAAACTCTGTGCTCTTAATTATTAGGATCGGCTCCTTCCGAAGAAGCAACAACCCTTCTGGTCACACAAGTCGGGGGGGAAAGGGACCTCACTCTGTGTCCGGGCGCACCTAATTTTAGACCTAATTCCAGTCGGTGACAAACAAATCCTCCGTAAGATAGTTTGTGCCATGGGAGCTGTCTATGGGTGAAGACTCTGTGTAGAGGTCACAACGTTACCAAACTCTGTGAAGCTGGAATTTTCAGTCCAGTTCTGTGGGAACACTGCTCCCAGATTACAGCACGAATCCGGAGAACCGGGTTTGATTCCTCACTC